CAGCCCCGCTCGGGGCTGGGGAGGAGCCGGGGCAGCGCTGCTTGTGCAGGAGCGGGGGGCACCTGGCGAGCTGTCTGTGCCCTCGGCGCTGCGGTGCGCGGCCGCCGGGCTGGTGCTGCGGGGGAGGAAGGAGCTCGCCGGGCTCCTGCAGGGGAGGCGGCGGGACCGGGAGTCAGAGGTGCCTGCCCTCGCTTCATCTGACACCCCTGGGGTGTGCCTTTGTAAGCTGTGCCCACGGTCCTCCAGGAAAAACAGGCCTGTGCTCTGCAGCACTGACGGGTGTCGGTTGTTGCCGCTGTGTGTGCTGCTCCTGGGCTGAGCTGGCTGGTTTTCCTTTTTATTTTTTAATTTTTTTTTTTCCCTTCACGACGGTCTGTAGCAAAGAGTTTGATGGGCTAGTCAAGATGGCTGTGTGTGTGATGTTTTACCTTGTGTAAGCTTGCTGGCTCCACGTTCAGAGGTACTTGGTATTATTTTACATCAACAGGGTAGAATAATGGAGTGGCTTTTCAGCATGCTATTAATTATTTTTTGGGGTCTTCCTGATGCTCACAAGTCACTTATTAGTTGCTTTTGGGTTTACTCTTACAACTGGGTTTTGGTTTCCCCTTTTCAGCAAGCTTATAAAGGTAAAGACAGAGCTGATGATCTCTGGACTGTATCTGTCTCCCTTTACCCTGAGAAAAGAGGTCTCTGTGTTGGCAGGCAGCAACAGAGAGGAGCTGTCATATATTGTTTGGAGGGAGAAGTGGAATAAGGCAGCTGCAGATGTTGAAGACTGGGGAGCAGAGACTTTTGCTGAAATGGTTAGGCAGAAGTGAAGGGATCGATGTGTGGTCAGTGAACGGCTGCTTTTCTTTTCAGGGCATCTGACTGGAAACTGGACCATCCAGACTGGACAGGGCGGCTTCGTGTCACCTCCAAAGGCAAAACTGCATACATCAAACTGGAGGATAAGGTTTCAGGTACGGGAAGGGCTGTGGCTCTGACCAGACTCTGACTGTGATTGCTGCTGGTGAGCCTGTGCTTCTAAGCCTGCTCACAGCTGTGCCTGGCAGCACTGGCCACACTTCAACAAGAGGTTGCTCTTCTTAATAATCAATTCTTTGTCTGCAGGAGAACTCTTTGCCCAGGCTCCGATAGATCAATACCCTGGCATTGCAGTAGAGACTGTGGCAGATTCCAGCCGCTATTTTGTCATTCGAATTCAGGATGGGACTGGTGAGTTGAGAGGTCATGTATGTGCCAAGTGCCAGAAGACTTAACCTGGTGGAACTGGGTGTACCCCGGGTGGATTGAAATGGTGTTGGGAGTGCTGGAAAGGCTGGGTAGTGTGCTGGGAGGGACGGGAAGGCAAGGTTAATGGAAGAGGGTTCTCTACAGTGCACAGAGTCCAGGGTCAGGGAAGGAACATTCAGTTTCTGAGGGTGCCACATGGGCAGAAGGATGCAGCCTAAAAGCTAGGAACAATGAATTTTTGTGAGCTGCTGGTGGCCAGCTGCAAATGTGCAAGAGGGAGGTAGGACAGAGCGATTTAGGAGAAGCAGATGAATTTTGGAGCGAATGAACACAAGGGCCCATTTGCAGGGCAACTCCAGTGACGACTCCTCTCTCCTTGCTAGGACGAAGTGCTTTTATAGGCATTGGCTTCACGGATCGTGGTGATGCCTTTGACTTCAACGTCTCTTTGCAGGATCACTTCAAGTGAGTTGTATTTTTGTGAAATGCTGTTTTTCCTCTGACCTGTAGAACATGGCAGGTGGTGGTGCATCTTCATTTAGTGCAGGCTTCCTTGGGATGGTCATGAAGCCCTGCTTTGGCTCCAATCAGGGATATTTGAGTGTGTTGCCAACTGTCATGCAAGCTGAGAGTCCTTCAGGGTCAGATGTGTAAGTCTTAAGTCTGGTGATGCTATAGGTGTTAGTCTTTTGGGTTCATAGTGGTCCCATCTTTTACCTGTACTACCCTGGGAATAGGGAGGTATCTGTTTTTTCAAGGCAAAAGGTAGTTCTTTGGCAGAACGAGGGAAGGACCCATGCATTTTTCTGAAACCCTGTTCCCCTTTCCCACAGGGTCTTATATAAGTCTTCCTCTCTTTATTTTAGGTGGGTGAAGCAGGAGACTGAGATCTCCAAGGAGTCACAGGAAGCTGACACACGTCCCAAATTAGACTTAGGGTTTAAAGAAGGACAGACCATCAAACTGAACATTGGGGTAAGCAACCCATTTTACTCTGCTTCTTTCTTTGGATAAGCTAACAGAGACTATTCCTCACTTGTCCTTTCTTGTTACACAGAATATGACAACAAAGAAAGGAGGAGCAGCCAAGCCCCGTGCATCTGGATCAGGGGGCCTAAGCCTGCTGCCACCCCCACCAGGAGGCAAAATTGCAGTCCCTCCTATACCTCCCCCTTCTTCCACTCCCATTGCCAACCACGTCACACCACCACCTGTGCTGAAATCCAGTAACATGAGCAATGCAGGTAAACATCAGCATAGAGCAGTTTGTCAGACACTAGTAGGTGCATAGAGAGGACTGAGGGCTGCTTCAGGGAGCCAGTGTTCAATCTAGTGACCTGTGAGACATGATGTGTCCCGAGGGCTTTGGTCTCCTTGACCTGAGGATCTCCATGCCTGTTTAATCGTAGTTGCTTGTTCTTCTTGCAGCCAGGACAACCTTGTAGCTCCTGTCCTTGCAAAAGGAAGAACAAAGCAAGTTGCTCAAAATGATATGAGGGCAGGTGGGTGTGAAATTTAAACGCTGGATTTTTCTGAAATGGCATGTGTTTTAGGGTGACTGTCAGAGCTGTTTAATGATACCCAGAACTGCACAGATACGTTCTGCAGAATACAGGTAGACTTGGGGTTGTTGTTGCAGATGGAGGAAAAGCACTGCTTGAGTGGCTTTGAAAGGAGAGACAGGACACTTCAGTGTGAGCAGCAGCAGAAAGAGTTGCAAAGTATAGTAGGATTGTGGGTATAGTGGGTTAATGTGCATATAATACATAAAAATGTTTGTTGAACTTCATACGTCAGGCATTGGAACGTGCTGCCTAGGGAAGTGGTTGAGTCACCATCCCTGGTTGTGTTTAAAAGTTGTCTAGATGTGGTGCTTTGGGATATGGCCTAGTGCTGGGCTTGGTAGACTAGGTTTAATGGCTGCACTTGATGATCTTAAAGGTCTTTTCAAACCTAAGTGATTTTATGATTCTATGTGTGTGTGTATATATATATATGATGTTCAACAAGGCCAAGTTCAAGGTCCTGCATCTGCGGTAGGGCGGTCACCAGTAGAGACTGGGAGATGAATGGTTTGAGAGCAGCTCTGCAGACAAAGATACTGGTGGATTAAAAATTGGATATGAGCCAGCAACGTATAGCCCGCTGTATCCCGGGCTGCACCAAAAGAAGCATGGCCAGCAGTTTGAGGGAGGTGATTCTCTCCCTGCACTCTGCTCTGGTGCAGACTCACCTGGAGTGCTGTGTGCAGCTCTGGTCCTCAGCGCAAGACAGACATGGAGCTATTACAGCAGGTCCAGAGGAGGGTCGCAAAGATGATCAGAGAGCTGGAGCACCTCTGCTATGAAGACAGGCTGACACTGTTGGGGTTCTTCAGCCTGGAGAGGAGGAGGCTCCAGGGAGACCTCTTTTTTACCAGGGCCTGTAGTGGATAGGAAAAGGAGAATGGTTTTAAGCTGAAATATGGTAGATTTACATTTGATATAAGAAATAAAATTTTTACAGTGAGGGTGATTAAGCACTGGAAGAGGTTTTCCAGAGAAGTAGCAGATGCCCCATCACAAGAAGCATTCAACGCCAGATTGGATGAAGCTTTGAGCAACCTAATCTAGTGAAAGATAGCCCTGCCCCTGGCAGGAGAGTTGGACTAGATGATCTTTAAGGTCCTTTCCAACTCAAACCATTCTGTGATTCCGTAACAGAAAGGTTGCTGCATTCTTCTGGATGCTGAACACACTTTTAGTGTGACCATACAGAGGTGTCTGGAGAGCTGATGATATTTTGTGAAGGCAGAGACTTCAGCAGTGCTGCACACAGATCAGAGTGAGAAGAAGCTACAAGCTTCTGAATAGGGCTTGATCTGAATAGACTGAACAGTGCATGATTTATACTGTTAAAGTGATGTCTGCTTAGCAACTGTTATGATTGCTTCAGTTTGAGCCTTAATTCTACCGAGAGAGGTAATGTCACAGATCTGCTGGTTGGTATGCTAGGTATAGACTGAATAGTTCTTGAAGACTGTGTACCCCTGTAGTAGGAGCTGGAGGCTTGGTGCACATTAAACAAAAGGAGCTGCTGTTATAACAAAATCCTTAAAAAGTCTTAACTTTTTCTGGAGGTCGAGCTGGAGTCCTTTCATCATTCTTTGTCCCTTCATCCAGCAGCTTGTGTAAGGTGACAATTAAAATGCTTGTGGGGTTTTGTGGTTGATGAGCTTGTTTTTGGTTTGTTGGTTTGTTTGTTGGTGGTTTTTTTTTTTTTCCTTCTACCTTAGACATTCTGTTAGACTTAGATGCTCCTGCTTCTGTGTCCAAGGCACCACCACCAGCTACCACAGACCTCTGGGGAGATTTCAGCACTGCATCCAGGTAAACTGTGGTGAAGGGAACTGCACATAAGCAGTGCAGCATGCTTGCAGGCACCAAAAGAGCCGTAAGCTAAGAAGTCTTGCTTGATCTGCTCCTTTCATTGTCCTTTCTTTATTTCAGTGCTATTCCCAATCAGGCTCCTCAGCAGTCCAACTGGGTCCAGTTCTGAATGGTCAAAGCAGTGGAATGGGACAAACTGATGACCAAGAGGCTCTAGAGGCACCAAATGGGATCAGAGGGGGCATGAAACTCTCTAGACTTCAATCAAAAACAAATTTGGACAATCCTTCCTTTTTAAACCAGATCTTCACTTCAGTCAAAACTTACTATTTTTGTTCCAGTGAAACCATTGAACCTAAAGAGAACATACTGACTCCTCACAAGGTGGGCAAGGAGGAGAGAGAAGTATTCTCATCTCTTCCACCCACTTGGCCATTACATGGTACATTCTAGCTCTTTTTCCCCATCTTTCTATACAGGGAAAGCAAGAATCCTGAAGAAGGTGGGTACAGGAGGAGGCTGGGTAGGTGCCTCTGGATCTCTTGTCCTTTAAATTTTCTCTGGTTAGACTGTTGCTTTTTGTGGCTGTTTTCAGTAGTGATTCAAGTCTGCAGCTTGGCCTGCAGTGTTGAGGGCAGCCGCATTTGGCTACAGCTTGTAAATGGAAGCTGTAAGGAGACAGGCCTTGCCTCAGCACAAAACCCTCTTTGGTTATGTCTGTGGTGAGGAGTGAAACTCCCCATGCACGTACTACTCTTCCTCTCTTTGGTGCAATTCCTGATAGTGCTGGATGTTCCTGTACTCCTCTGGAAGGAGTCATGCAAGTCCATGAGTAGACCTACTGCCATTGTGCTGTAGCTCTAGGTGGGCACCCCATCATGAGACTCCTTTTGTTTGCCTTGCAGGTTCACTGGAGGAATTTCATTTTCACTCCTTTCTCCCTCCCACTCCATCCAAAAGCCCCATTGTCACTGAGCTGTTTTAACTGGAAATAGCTTTAAAAAATATATATATTTGGTAGCTACTTGCACTAGATGACAACCAGGTGATCCCACCACTCAGCATTTTGTGTTCCTGCATCATTATCCTGAGCCCTGGCCTTGTGTTGTAACTTGGCAATGTGTTACAAGTATTGCATACTCCTGCCACAGAAAGAACTGTGGGGGTGGTAGATCCTTCTCGGGTGAGGGGACAACGTCCTTCCCCTCTTCATCTCGCACTTAATTGGGCAAGAACTGTATGGTAGGCCCAGTCTTGAGAACTGTGGCAGCAAAATTCTCCCACCAGTGGTCCTTCTTGTGGCTTCTGAGGCTAACTTTCTAGGACTGTGAGCTGCTTACTGTAACTCGGATTTTTTTTATTTTTTTTTAATTTTAAATCCAAACCACCTCTATTTCCTGTGTGGTTTAGGGGGTTAGAAAGAGGTAGAAGGCACTCACTCTCTGCTGTTCTCTTTGAGAGAGTTTCCTAAAGCTGTTTGATCTAGACACTACTCTGTTTTCCACAGCTATGAATGGAATCTGGGGTTTAAGTCTGCTGATTACTCTGGGCAGAGCCCGGGAGCAGACTGGAAACCTCACACCACTAGCTACCCTCTGTGCTAGCTTTATCAGTCAGAATGCCAGCTGGAAACGTGGTCTCATTGACTCTTTTACAGCTGTACCCAGTTACTAGAACTTTTGGTACTTCACTGGAAGGTTGCTTCCTGTTTTGAACATTCAACCAGCAGCAATGCTTTTGTGACTGGAATATGCTCTGCTAGCACACCTGTGCAAGTAAGTTTTCCCTTTGGGCAAAGACTTCCTGGTGAGGCTTTTAAAAGAGTAGTTAGCTGTATGCACCTTGTACTCACAGAGGTCTCTTTTAGTCTTCTTGCTGCACGGAGGGAATTCTGAAGACAAAGTTTCACTTAGACCATCCCTCTGCAAAGCAAAAATATTGAAAGTAGCTCTAAAGCTGCAGCAGTTCCGCTTGTGGAAGTGGGGACCAGACTGCTGTTTTTAAGTAGTCATTTAAGCCTGTTCCCCTGGCTCTCTTGGTGTTCCCCCTGCCATCCCTCCCATGCCTTCATAGTCACTTCTGCACTCTCATTGTATTTAAACTCCCAGCCATCTCTGAACTTGTGGGTGGCTATAATTTGCTAGCAAATTCATGGACTTTTTTTTTCTTTTTGTTGCTCAAGTTGTTGTGAGGTCCTGTCATTTCAACTATGTATCGGTTCCCCAAACCAAGAAAGTTCATGGCACCAATTAACTAACTAGGAGCCTCTTCTGTATTGTCTTAGTATTCTGGAGATACTATATTATGTATTTGAAAGGCTGAAAAAACAAAAATTAAAGATCTATGTATATAAACCGTAAGATGTACTGGTGCGAATGGTAATTAAACAAGTAATATTGGGGAAAAGAATGTCATGAGTCTTCTAAGTTGTCAAATTGTTGTTGCTTTGCAAGCTCTGCAGACTGAAGGTCTTTATGTCTCTAGGAAGATCCTACTAGCCTACTTACCCTTCTGCAAGGGCATTATGGCCTGTGGACTGGACAAGAGGAACTTTAGGAATGACTAGGTTCAGGTTCTGTCTGTGTGAAGAAGTAGAAGCATGGAAGAAGACAGGAAAAATACCTATGGCTGTTCCAAATAGAGTAAAAAAAACCCAACCAAAGCAACATGCAAACAGGCCTGACTGTTAGGTGTGTGTGTGGTGCTCAATAAGAATTTGGATAAAACTAGCAAGTGAGAAAACTTAGTTGCCCTGCGATTTAACATTTTGGACATTAGAGGTTTAGACACCCTGCAGATGTTTTCAGAAGTTGTTCTTTCCATGCTTGTACATGGGAAGCAGTCTCTGCTGGCTGAAGAAGTGAGCAAAGTGAGCTGAGTTGGGCCTCTTTTCAGGCAAGGGCAGGGTGGTGCGGAAGAGAGAGCGGGTTGGAAGCCGAGTCACAGCAAGGCTGGCCCAGGCAGTGGCATTGCCAGTAAAGAAACAGTCCTGCAGTATCTAAGCAGGACGATCAGAGCATGTCAGTATGGTAATTTAGATCAGCAGGGTACATGGCGAGGCATGGGCATGGCTGTACTAGCTCAGACAGGGATCAAGGATGAGAACCTAGCTGAGATAAGCTGGCAGACAAGCCTTGCTGAGGTTTCTCAAAGCCAGACATCTATATTATTTCAGCTGGACCCAAGTCCAGGCAGCCAGTCCCCTGGAAGATGGAGAATATGCTCAGGGACCTGATGTTCTCTCAGACCTGCTCACAGCCATCTCTTCTTGCACAGCCACACTTGCACACTCTGCCGGACAGCAAAGCTCTACATACAGTTGTGTTGAAAGTACAGTGGAAGTCTTATGGCCCGGATAAAGATATGAAGTCTTAACCTTTAAAGTCAGCTGTTTGAATGACAATAGTAAATACTGGTCTCATTGTCAAATACTCTAGCAACTGTAGTGGCAAAAAAAAAAGTAAATATTTACCTTTCTTTGGATCTAGGAGCAAAGCTGTTCTCTTGTTTTGGTGATAGGGTGAATATGTTGCATACGTCCTGGTCAGACAGAAAGTGAAGGGTCTTGTCCATGAGCTATGGTGAAGCTTCTCTGACTTCCCATAGGCACTTGCAGTAAAAAAGGGTTGAATAGTCTAAGAAGTTATTTCTTCAGAGTAGGAGGATTTTCAGGTGAAGTGTTCCTAAGGGGCTGCTGGTTTATAGTCCTGTTTGTGCATCAAGAATCATAGAGGATTGGGACTCAATTAATGAAGGAGGGCTTAGTCCTCTCTGGTGATCTTCCAGGTCTCTGTGCATTTCCTCACAGTGAGGCCTGCTAGAATGCAACAGGTTGATGTGTCTTGTGTAAATCCTCTCCTGCTTCTCCCTGATAACAATCAAGAGCAATCTTTCTGTCCCCAGTGGGACAAGTTGGCTGTGATGGTAAGTTACTTGTGAAATTACTTGGCCTATGACTGCACTGGCTGAATTCTTCTGTCTCTTCCTGCACTTCCCATTGCCAGTGGTTTCTTCTAATATAGCAGAAGCCAGTATGCAGGCTGCCAGAGGCTGTAGGTCTCAAATGTTGTGGACAGTAGTGTTCTTTAGGTAAAGGATTAAGGCCAGGCCTTTAATGTGGATCAGCAGATCAAACTGAGCAATATCTCCTGAACGTTTAATATATTCTACATAGTGGATCAGCTGATTTCCTCAGGCAGCAGGATAGGCTGTTATCAGTGTGAGAGGGACAATGGTCAAAGGGGGAGAAAAGTTCATGCCAAATGGAGGAGAGACTGTAGCATGTATGAAGACATAAGAAACAAGTGCCAAAGCAAAGATCACAGTTTTGTCTTGTTACTGGTTGTAGTTTCTTCTCTGAGAGCTGTAGTTGAGGCGGGATGTAAGCATTTCTTCCCCCTCCCTCCACTAATTCTGTTCTACGTTCTGTGATATAAAATTCCAGTCTCACAGTCATGCAGTACCTGGACCTACTTCAGCCACACAGTGTGGATCGCAGGCCCAAACTTGCTAGCTTCAACAAAGCCTTGGTGCTGTGTGTAGACTCCCAAAGAAATGAAGAGGAAGATATGTCCACCAGAGGAAATAAAAATAAAAACAAGAAACCAAAAAACCCTGAAGTCTTCCTGTGCTTTGGTGATGAGGGAACAGAATCTGAACCTGAACTCACCCTGTTAAATTAGCAGAAACCTACATAGCTCTAGGAAGGTGCCCAAATGGGCTGTTAATGCATAAAAAGAGAGCACTGGGTCCTATGTAATTAACAAGCATTGTAATGCCTCAAGGTCTAGGCAAACCACTGAGTGGTCATTACATTATGTGAATGATAGATTTGTAGTTCAGAGACCATTTTAAGTCATTTTCTTCCAAATTAATATATTTGTCCCTGGTAACAGGTAGAGTGCATTGCAGGATGTAGTTCCCTAGTGTCATAGCTCAGTTTTGCCAGCTGTCATTAGTTGTAGCTGTGTGTCCTCATCTAGAGGATCTAGAGGCTCTGACAAACATTTGTTGAAGCTCTCTGAGCATGGGAAGATGAGTCAGCAGCAGCATGTAGTGGCTCCCAACCAGAGCCACATTTTCTAGCTGTCACTGCTGGAAGCCTGTCATGAACTTCTGACATCACTTGGGTTTGGGGCAGACCAGCCAGGTAACTTGCAATGGCCTGCT